TATGCACCTATTACAGAAGATTTGTCAAGGGATTTGCCAATATAGCTGCACCCTTACATAGACTTACAGGTGATGAAGTCGGCTACGAATGGAACACCGATTGTGATGTAGCCTTTGGAAGACTTAAGGCGGCTTTATGTTCAAGTCCTATTCTAGCCTACCCGCAACAACAAGGGAGGTATATCCTGGATACCGACGCCAGCAATATCGGCATAGGTGCAGTGCTATCACAAGTGCAAGATGGCGAAGAACGAGTGATAGAATATTACAGTCGAGTTCTATCCAAACCAGAAAGGAATTACTGCGTTACCCGGAAGGAGCTGCTAGCAATTGTGAAGGCAGTTGATCATTTCATAAATACCTGTATGGCCAAGAATTTTTAATTAGGACAGATCATGCGGCTCTCAAATGGCTTATGGAGATGAAACAACCTGAAGGCCAAATAGCACGATGGCTCGAGAAGCTCCAGCAGTATCACTTTACCATCCAACATCGTGCTGGGAAGATGCATGGTAACGCAGACGGTTTATCCAGAAGACCCTGTCAAACCGATTGTAAGCACTGCTGTAAAACGGAACAACGTGAAGGCACTGTCATGATAAGGAGTTTTAAGCTTGGAGCTGATGAACAGTGGACGACGGCACAGTTGAGGAAAGACCAAATGGAAGATCCAGACATCGGAGCAATACTAGGGCTCAAGGAAGGTAACGGCGAGAGACCACCGTGGCAGGATATTGCGGACAGAGGGCTAGTTTTCAAAGCTCTCTGGGCTCAGTGGAATTCACTGGTTATTGAGAATGGATTGTTAAAGCGCACGTGGGAAAGTGCGGATGGCAGGACAGTAACAACTCAGTTACTGGTACCAAGGAAGAAAGTTACCCAGGTATTGGAAGAAATTCACGGTGGTAAAACTGGAGCCCATCTTGGGGTAAACAAGACCTTGAGCAAGCTGAGAGATCGTTTTTACTGGGTGGATTATTGCGAAGATGTCAAGAAATGGTGTCGACAATGTAAAACTTGTGCAGCCAGCCAAGGGCCAAGCACTCGCTCTAGGGGAAAAATGAAACAATATAACGTTGGACTGCTATTCGAAAGAATCGCTGTTGACATTGCAGGCCCATTCCCTGAAACGCACAAGGGCAACAAGTACGTTTTAGTGGCGATGGATTATTTCAGTAAATGGCCAGAAGTTTTTGCCATTCCAAACCAAGAAGCATCGACTGTAGCTGAAGTATTAGTCAATAATGTCTTCAGTAGATTTGGAATTCCTTTAGAGCTTCACACTGACCAAGGAAGGAACTTCGAGTCAAGACTGTTCCAGAAGATGTGTGATCTGCTTGGTATTCACAAGACTAGGACAACAGCTTTACATCCGCAGTCTGATGGGATGGTCGAGAGATTCAATAAGACCATTGAAGAACATCTCTCGAAAATGGTGGATGAACATCAAAGAGATTGGGATCAGCATATACCACTATTCCTAATGGCATATAGAAGTGCAGTTCACAACACCACCGGACTTTCACCATCGAAGATTTTATTTGGTCGAGAATTACGGTTGCCTTGTGACTTGGTGTTCGGATCACCAGACGACAGCACCACGAACGTAGAGGACTACGCGGATGAACTGAAGGAAAGGTTATTGGGAATTCATAAGGCCGTGAGAAGTAAGATTACGCTAGCCAGTGACCGGATGAAAGCTCGTTACGACCTCAGAGCTAATTCTACGGGATTTCAACAGGACGATATGGTATGGTTATATAACCCACAGCGCAAGAAAGGGAGGTCCCCAAAGTTAACTCCAGCATGGGAAGGTCCTTATACAGTCATCAAGAGGATAAATGATGTTGTGTACCGGATTCAACGCAGCCCTAGAAGTAAGATGAAAGTAGTTCATCTGGATCGATTGAAGAGATATCAGACAGGAAACCTTGATCGGGACGATCAAATTTGAGAAGGGGCAATGTCAAGAAAATGGCCTATCCGCCAGAAATTAAAATGTATTACTGGTTGCCTGCACAACCGCAACGTATCCGCCAGAAATTAAAAGACTTTTTCAGGCGCCATCTTTTAGTCAAGTCGAGAAGTAAGGGAATCAGACAATAGAATTGTCTGGTATGAAGAAGTACGCTTTCCGAGAATTGGGGAAATTTCGAGAAGCAGTCAATAGAGTATATAAGCCGGAGCCATCGACAACTGAGAGTTTTTTGAAATTTGAATATACCGCGTAAAAATTGAAAATCGGACAATTTGGTGAAGGAATCTTATAAATAGTTAGTTTGTTGTGTGTTATAAGTTAGTAATTGTGTATAAAGTGAGAAAATAAATTCGTTAAGTATTTTATCGTGAGTTTAAATTAGTGGACCCACGGAATCCGTAACAATATCAATGAAGCCAAAATAAATCCCTGCAATAACACCTCTACAAAGGCAGCGAAGAATGGATTTTTGTCAACGTTTTGAAGAAGGTAATTTTAATAATATTTTTATTTCTGACGAAAGTTGTTTCCAGCTTGGTGGAAACCACCTAAAAATCCTATCAAAAAAAAATGTTACCGTTCAAGTTTCAAAATTTCCCACTAAAATAATGGTTTGGGGAGCAATATCCAGCGTGGTGCTACACCTCTGTATATAGTTGATGGGACTGTTAATAGTGCAAAATATTGTGATATTTTAAATGGTTCTCTTCTTGAAACGGCTCATGTTTTATATCCAGAGGGGTGGCGTTTTCAGCAGGATAATGCAAGATGCCATATGTCTGTCTAAACTCAAGCTTGGATGCAAGAACACCATTTGGTAACAATTCCATGGCCAGCAGCTTCACCAGACCTTAGTCCCATTAAAAACAAATAGGGACTAATGAAGATTGAAGTGGAACGAGCAGCTCCACGAAATAAACAAGATTTGATTCGCTCAGTTTTAAAGGCCTGGACTACCGCCACTGAACATTATGGTGTGGACCTAGTTTCGGGTGTACCTGGACGTTTAGTTAAGTGTTTGGAGTTAAATAGAGGTTGTATAAGTAAATAAAATTAATAATTTTGTTATATATTTTTTTAACTCAAGCCTAAAAATATATTTTTAGATTTATATTTAAAATATATTTTTTCTACAAAAAAAAAACAGTTTTTACAAGACTACAATGAAACAACTATCCATATCAGTAAAATAAACGATCATCACAATATCAGCGCTAAAAGCGATCAACTCAGTAACTCATCAATTTGAAGTTGGTCAGAATGTCTAGAGAATCTGAACAAATTAAGCAATGAACAACTACGAAACAACGCTACGAACAGCAGTGTACCGAGTAATAATAATCCCCACCATGATATATGGAAGCAAAACCTGGGTACCGTACCGCCAGCATGTGAACGCATTAGACAAGTTGCAACAGAGACACCTAAGACAACTGTTAAGGATCAAATTCTACCATCATGTGTTTAACATATCGGTGCCTGAAAAAGCTAGCTGCTAGAGCGTTGAAATCATAATTACTAAATCCAGCTTAAGATGGGCTGGTCACGTATGCAGGATGAAATCCTCTACCAAAAACTTTTTTTTACTTGTGGTGAGCTTGTAGACGATAAGACAAAAATTGGTAGACAACTCAAAAGTATATCAAACATACAAGTATAAAGATATTCCTCCAAGGGGATAAGCATGCAGAATGGGAGGAAGCAGTGCACAATAGGACGCAACGGAGAAGAATTGTATACTCAGTTAACAACGACAACCAAAAAGCAAAGAGGCAACAAAGTAATGAGGTTTTTCAATGACCGGAGTGCGGAAGAGAGATAACATCACGTATCGGGCTTAAAAGTTACAGAAAAGCCCATGAAAGAAAACGCTTTGCGAATCCATCTTCTGATGCGTGTCAATTACTCGCCAGCGAGTAATGGCAGTAAGTAAGTAAAAAATGGCCCATCATTCATTGTGATTGATCATTTCAATATTGTGGATGATGTCATCACTAACTTCAGAAAAAGAAAGATGGTACTCTCACCCATTACTTCCTTTTTTGGTATCTTTGTTTTGAAGACAAATGCGTTTGTTTAAGATAATATGGAAGAAATTGAAATAATAATAATAATAGCTTCCGTATATAGTGTTTAACGCCTTGGGAGTAGCAAGGTACAGCTTGCCATGCTAGAGCCGTCCGGTATACAAGGAAGGTAATGTGGCTAGCACTACGCTTCAGCTGCCTATTATTACTTCAGGATTGTGAATCCCAAGTACTCATTTAAGGCTGAGTCGACCTAGGTACCCAAACTATTTTAATTTTAATAAAAATAGTCGGCTGATGAAATGCCGGGTGTAGGATTGGAACCCACTACCTTGAGATTGGTAGACGAGAGCCTGTACCTCTACGCCACCGGGCACTACCACCTCGACCACCACCCACCACCAAGAAATGGAAATGGAGGTTGAAAAATTTGGATAGCATTGAACAGTTGCCACCTTTTCACTTGTACAATAGAAGTCATAAACAATAATTCCATCCATAAATATCTGGTTTTGACGACATTATGTAGCACCAGTGCTGTTGGGTAAAGTCTAAAGTGCTGTGGTTGGTTTATAAGATACACCACTGAGTTGTTTCGTAATTGATAGCTTAGACGATGTGCGTCTAACGTTGAAGGATGTATAATAGGTCCAGTGGGATCTATATTCCCTAGTCCTTACTGATTATCCTCCCCCACCTCAAAAGAAATGAATCAACATGCGCATTTGCAAGGTGTAAAAAAAAACAAAAAAGATAACATGTTCATGCCGTTGACAAGTAACCAAAAAATATAATCAGCTAATTTTTGCTATGGAATTATGCCCACAAAATCTGCCATTAACATTAACGGAACATTCTGTTGCGAATTTATTACAGGGTCGTAAATTAAATATTTTCTATATTATAAAATAAATTATTAAATATTTTGTAGAAGTTATTTATAAAATCATTGGTTTGTGTGTGTGTGTGAGTTACTAGTTAAATATTTGACTCACCTAAGCTAAAACCGATTACGTGTATATCTTTGGCACCCATATCTCTTATTCTGTCCACTAATTGAGCGGTGCAAGTACCGACGTGACGAGCATTCCAAACTGCGGCTGGATAACAAGGAGATTTATTGAGCGGGCTCCAGTCAATGGCGAAAATATTGTAGTCATTAGTTTTAAGGTATTCTGAAATAAAGAACTTGTTGTACTGAAACTACACCACTCTAGAAACGAATACCTATATAATTCTATAAAATACATCGCTTCGTTTCGTGAAAACTATTTGAAAACATGCATAATCATAAGAAGATATTTTTAAAATGGGCGCTTTAAAACCTTAACCAGCAAACCTGATATTTTTTCGGAATGCTGTGCCACACTGTATTTTGAAATATATTTAATCATACCTCTCCTTAATTCAATTAGTCCGTTTAAAAACATGTTTGAATTATATCCATGGATAATGATTTTTGTTGGCTTCGATGGATCGAATACGGTTTTGTGCAGATTTGTTCCACGTACGTGGGTAGCCATGTAAACTTGTTCCGGATTTTCTGGATTTCTCGTCGAATACATGAAAAATGTGATATCCGGATCGGGACATTGCCTAAAGCAAATATAATATGATATTCTTTATCTATAAAACATCTATAACATTCTTAAAAAAATATCTCTATAAAAATGAAATAATAATATAATTTTTATCTCTGAGTAAAGGTTGGTTCTCATCTATAAATTTTACCGAAGCAGTGTGACTAATTCAGTGGGACTGAATGGATAATGAACTTGAAAACAGGTTTTCCGTAAAAATAATGAGTTTATTCATACTTTCAGTTAGCGAAAGCTAGTTCTACATTTACTCAAGAATATGGAAGACTCTATCCATAATCTGGAATAAGAATTCTCCAACGGTCTAAGACACTGGAAGAAATTCCTTCGAAATATTTCTTCGAACTATTCCTAAGAACTTACGACCGAGGTTGAATTAAGTAAGAACAATCTTTGGATTGTTCGGGGTTAAACAACAGCGAATGCAGATTATGTGGGGAAAATGGGGAAACACCAGAACACCTCATCACTGAGTGTGCCGAGACGACAATCATTCGTGCCATAAATTTTGGTACGACTGATATCGGATAGATATCAGAGATAGAGAACTAACATCTATAAACCGTCTCAGATATTGGCTTTTGATAAAAGCCTGAGACTGTATGATGAGTTGATAGGCTGATGCATGATGATAGGCTTGGGGCATTCTTCTCCGGTGCTGCCACGATCGGAGAATATCGTAAACGTAATATCGTAACTAGTATACAAAAATACAAAACTTTTTAGATGAGTTCAACTACGATAACGAGTGGCGAGCATAATTTTAATCACCGGTTTAGCTAGTAGGGTCATAATTGGGGCTATTTCGGTTACAACAAAACTTTTTAAAGGTACATACTTATAATTTTAGAAGATGTCCATAAAACATTTAATCACTAGTCTATTAAAAAACAAAACTATTATTCCAAACCAAACCATTAATATTGCAAATTATATTTTACTAGTTGAAGCCTGGAAAAAATGCTTATTTTTTAAATTAAATGAAAAACAAAAAATCCGACAGTTTTTAGAAGAGCCAATTAACTATCTTTTAGTAAAAAAATCAACTTTCTAGAGCAAGTCGTTACTTCACTAGAGACGACATAGATAAACATTAGCATTTTATTGTTATACCCTGTATTATGGGTATTGACCAATAATTCGATAAAAAAGCGTTTCAGAATCTGGCTAGCAATTCAAAACGCCTTCAATAGTTCAGAAAATACAATATGTTCAACTTGATGCAAATATTTTTACGTTACGTTTCAATTGGTGCTCAGTTTACTTTTAAATAAATTTATTAAACCCTGTTATTTGATGTATTTTATTAAGCTGAATCGAATAAAATCCGTCCCAATGCCATTGGATTAACGGTTTAGGAAATATAGGCTTTTTTCGTTATATTATCAGTTTCACACCACTGTGCGGCCCGGTGTGGCGCGGTGCGGCGCGGCGGCGTGAAATACATACTGATAATTTCTGATTTCTGCCGTTGAAGTGCTGCGGTCGGAATTTATTCAAATCAACTGAAATGCACCAAGCCTATAACTCAAGAAAGGGAGACATAATAGATATATAAGGTCGCGGTGAACTTCCCTCCTTTTATGGAATCTACTATCTAGTTCTAGATTTGGTAATTTTAAAGAAGTGTATGAGTAGAGATTGTATCTATTTTTTTGTTGTTTTCCAAAATTTGAGGAAATATTGAAAGAATTGACTTCCACAACTAATTCTTTTAATACAAAACCAATTAATGTAATTTTGTCGACTTCATGTTTACGAGATAAAAGAAAAATGTCTAGACCAACTGAATGTATTCTACTAGCAAAACCACGCGCGAACACCGTGTTTTCCGTCATTCATGAACTTTACTTCAGTAATACTGATAGGTGAGAACCTGTCTTAATATTTTAACCAAATCCCCCCCCCCCTAATTGAAACAAATCTATAAAAATAACCATTATATTTGACGCTCAATAAAATAAGAGATTTTTTAAATTGCCCACTTGTATAGCTATTTGAATGTAATTTTTAGTCAGCTATATTTAATAGAAAATGAAAAGCTATCAGGGTTTGAGGCTATCTTATATTAAAAAATAACTATTTATTGTTATAATAAAAATTCGTTATGAATAAATAATATCTTTTAGGCAAGTTGAGTGAAACTTTTTGAAAATCATTTTTTTTTCAAAATTCTTTTTTTGTTCGAGTTTGAAAAAAAAAAGGTTGAATTAGGGGCTGGAACATATCTAATAATATATTTGAAAAACGATGAGTAAATTATATCCTTACTTACGGATTCAGTACTACTCGACATGGTCCGAAAGAGAGTGTAAGTTGCCTGGTATTTGGGAACTGATGAGTGTACAAGGTATAATCTGTCTTATTCTGTGTCCAAGCGTCTGAAAATAAAATCAGATGTACCTAACAAAATTATCATCTTGTCAAACAATGTTTTTTAATAAATGTTTTTGCATTATTAATCGGAGAGTATAGCTTTTCGCATATCTTATATGCTATTATTAATTTATAAAAATATAATTATTAAAATGTATTCAAAATTATGTACCACTTTTCGCACATGTCAAGACCACCTGCTTATCCATTTGAAAAAAGAAGAAATTACTTTGTTCCACCGTATTTTTGAATTCTTTAAAAAGTTTTCGGATTCTTTTTGCATATTAAGTTTAATCGATTAATGGATTATTAATGGATTACTATTAATAAAGGATTTTGGCATACAAAAAATAGCTATAAGTAGCACAGACAGATGTTCTTACATCATTAAGATATTTTTTGTACATTGATAAAATTATGCTAATTTAAATATCTAATAGAAATTCAAAAATTAAAATTTAAATTAAAAAAAACATCAATTTTTACATATAAATATTTGCAACAGTTTGTTTCTTATTTTTAGACAGAATCATTAAGATTTATTAAGTATAATATACTGTTAGTATAGTATAATGTTAAAATATTATTTTAACATTAATTTAAAATTTATCCTTTATTTACATAATATAATTTATAATTTTAAAAATTAACTAGAAAATGTATTCGAAAAATGGTTTTTAGCAGCAAATATATTTGTTTTTTTTATGTTATGAATAATTTTAATATTAGTAAATTAATTTAATAACAAAACTTAGGTTAAAATTGTTGCACATACAAATTACAGGTTAACAAACTTTATTTACAAACCAAACACAACGACAGTGCACCCATTTTTTTTTCATTGTCATATTTTGCTGTTCATGATAGCATAGTCGGATGGCATATAATAATCTATATTATGTGCGGGGTGGGTCAAATTGGACGCTTTTAAAGGGAAACACACTTTTCTATAGGAAACTATAGAAAACTTATATCTGTGTCTGGAGCTCTTGATCAAAAACATGATGGTGAAAACCGCACATCGATATCTGTTACCGTTTCGGAGTTACATGGGCATTTTTAACAAATCGCTGTGACTTTTTTCGTATGGAAAATCTTGTATTTTTATGAAAATATTCCCAAAGCACTTCTTTACGTAGAATTTAATGGTTTAAGTATAATTTTTTTAAAATTAATAATTTAAGAGTTATCAACAGAAAAATTGATTTTTTATTTGGGACACCTTGTATATTTTTAATTAACTGAAAAGAACTTAAAATTACCTTTCTAAAAATATAATTCCATAGCAAAAATATTACAGCGATTTGTTAAGAATGCACATTTTTGAAAAACACCCCGTAACTTCGAAACGGTAACAGATATGTTTTTGATAAAAATTGAGCTCCAGACACCGATATTAGTTTTCCTTTATCTCCTATAGAAAAGGATGTTTTTCTTTACGAGCCTAACCGATTTGGCCCACCCTGTACATTTACAATTTTGGTTAACTTAGTTTTAATCATTTGTTGCTAAAATGATTAGCAAAAGTGGCTCTAAAATGATAAAGAAGTAGTACTGCGGATGATTTTAAAAAATTTTAAATGTGCGAAAAATTAATCCTTCCCATTTAAATTCCTTTCTTACTGTAGGACAAAGGAAAATTATCTGAATATGTAAGATTACCTTCCTCAAGATCCCATTAATACTAGAATATTAATAATTATAATTTTTTACTACCTTTATTAAAACTAAATTAACTAACATAAATAAAAGTGAAAAAGTGATAATATTTTTAATTGAAAAAAAAAATTGCTGTTATGATTTAATTTCAGTTAATTTTTGACGGATAATCATGGTCACGTCATAAAATAATCCGTTGCATCTGAGAGGAGATTAGCGAACTGAAATTACAGAATTAAATATAATAAAACTTTCACTTTTTCAAATTGTATTAAAATCAATTGGTATTTGCTTTTACCTAACACTAATTTTTCCTTATAGATTTTAAAAATTTCGCTATTAATTTATTCAAACAATATAATATATAAATTACACAGGGTGTCAAAAAAATAGTGTATCTAACTTCGGTGGTTTATACTACAGATAAAAATAAAACAAAAACTTCCTATGAGCATATGACCTAAAATACTAGTGGCACTTCTTTTATCCCTACAGATACAGTAATTTCAACAAATTAAAATTAAAACTACGACTTTTTTATGTAAAAAGGTTCTCTTCGATTAGTTCGAAACGGTTAGGTTAGAACGATTTTCAAGATATTTGCGTTTAAAGGTTCCGATGGATCGATTTTACTATTATCGAAATCTGGAGATTAATTTATTTAAAATTTCTTTACATTTTATCATTTCACCAATACCAAAATCGATGTGTTGTAATCTTTAAACGCAGATATCTTGAAAACCGTTCACCTTTTCGAACTAAACGAAGAGCACCTGTTTTACGTAAAAAAGTTCTAGCTTTTTATATCATTTATTGAAATTAATGTATCTATAAGGATAAAAGAAGTACCACCAATACTACCCTAATGGAATATACCGTTTCAGGGCTGTTACGGTATTTTTCACAATTGCCATTCGCTTTGCCATTAAAATGTGTGTATAGTGTACAAAATTTCAAGAAAAATGGTTTACCAATGTTCTTAAAATAAACAAAATATATTATTTTTATTTAACCTTTCCAAGGCTGTAACATCTTCGGGAAGCATTTTAAGGCGTCTGTAGAATCACCCACGAAAGTTAGATATACTATATTTTGACACCCTGTATATATTTTTAAGCATTTTTACCAACTTTATAATCCTATATTTCAAGATTTTCTTAATAATCTTTATTTCGTATATGTCAGATATATCAAATATAGTTTAACTAATTAAAATACATTAAAGCATCTCTTTAGCATGCGGACAAACGCTTTAATGAATTTAGTACTTGGTTTGGTTTGGTAAATAATTATAACTGATATTTAATAAAAGTAAATTTTAAAGAGCGTAATGATTATAATAAATATTTTAATATGAAAAGTAGGCGCCATATTATTATTGAAGATGAAGACTAAAAAAAGCGGCATTCTTTTCTCATAAAGATGAAGTAAAAGAAGATAAATTTGTCTCTACCGGGTGCGTCTCAAAAGTGGCTCACCCCTATAACTTTTTTTTATTTTTTCAGTTAAAAAAAACAAGATTTGGTATGTTTTTAAATGGTAATATGACATAAATTAGCAATGATTGATGTATTCAATTGTTTTCGGTCACTTCCTGTTTCATCGGAAATTACTACAACTTTTGATTTTTAAATGGCACCCTGGATATTTTTTTTTACTTTGTTCGATAGAAAATAACACTCTGAATAGAATGACCAAAGAATATACCTAGCTAGAAAAAGAATGGATTCTGCCATACTGAAAAATGGTCCTACAGAAGTGGCGCCATCTATTGAGTAGGGCTTGTTTTAAATGGATCAAAGCGCGGGCTTTTTAAATGAGCGTATTTATTGAATTTTGCTTTAAAATAATTAAATTTGATTATTAAATCTTATTTTTTACACAAATTCAACAATACTAATAACAAGTAGCGTTGTGATGTGTAAAAAATAAGATTTAACAGTATAATTTATACAATTATTAAATAAAATTAAAGCTAAACATGTGTAAATATATTTATTATTTTAAGTTTTAAGTAAAATATTTAAACATCGTTTATTATAATAAAACAAGACCAACGTAATACGCTCAAAGTTTTGTAAATGGAGTAAATATAAATAGGTACTTAATTGATGGCAAAAATAAAAGACTTACATTATATTTTTAGGGCCACAAACAAAAGGAATTGTCTAATAAAAACACATATAACAAATTATAGTTTGAAAAACGTTTTGATAATCATTTTTGATGATTGGCGCTATGGCAACGACAATATTTTTTGAGAATTTGACAATCTGGCAATAACTAGTAGCAACTTCTTAACCTAAAAATTAATTGCACTACCACCTAGCGCCCGAGGCTGGAACTATTTTATTTGAAATTTCCGTGGAAACGGTGGAACCGTTTTTGCTATTTCACTTTCCGGCCCCTGAGAATGACATATCGTATGTCAACTTTTGACATTTTCGCATATGGTTTATTTGAAATTATAACTTGTGGTTCGTAACGAAAATTTGACTCGAAATACCAAGTGTGTGGTATCAAATTATTCGTAAAAAAATGCTTTTTCCAAATATGCTAATGAGCCACACTTGTTCCATTTGAAAAAATTGAGATATTATTAAAACTACGATTTCAGCATTTTCTAACTGGCCAGGATAAGACACTAAAAACATTAGACGATCAAATCTATTTTTCCAATGCTCCTTGATTAAGAATTAGTGTTTTTAACATAGCCATGGCACTCTATATTGAATTTTAAAATATTTTTTATTATGCGAGAATGTCAAAAGTTGACATATGATATGCTATTCTAATCAGAATGTCATTTTCTATCGAAGAAAGTAAAAAAACACCGAGGTGGCCATTTAAAAATCAAAAGTTGTAGTCATTTCCGGTGAAATAGGAGGTGACCAAAAACAATTGAATACAGCAATGAATCCTAATTTATGTCATATAATAACATACCAAATCTCGTTTTTTATCTGAAAAAATAAAAAAAAAGTTATAGGGGTGAGCCACTTTTGAGACGCACCCGGTATATGAGCCGTCACTGCACAATTTATTAACTTCACTTTTGAAAAATCTTAAATTTAAGTTGAAAACCACTTGGTATATTCATAACATTAAAGAAATGGTAACGTCTGATTTTTGTAAAAATGGTAAAATAATTAATAAATATAAAAAGATATGGATATAAGTGTTAAGATATGAATATAAGTAGTTAATGGAGTTGTGCAGTCAACGGCTCATATAAAGATCTAGATACTTATGTGATAAAAGCTTTGCGTTATTTTGAAGAAAATTTGAATAATAATGCGAATAATCAAATTATAAAAAAATGGAAATAGTACTTAATATGCAAGTATAAATATTTTTAATCACTTACATGGAATAACACTTGAAACCAACACAAAAAAATATTCCCACATGTTCACATATTATCCACCACCGTCGACAAATTGCAATAATCGCTAAAACTAATTACGTATAACATCGCTAAATGAATTTCAGTATCATCACAAATCAAATTTCTT